TAAATAAATAAATAAATAAATAAATAAATAAACTAAAATGTCTGAAAATCAGCCTGTTTTACAGATATTAAGCTAAAATTTGGTGGGGATAGAGTCACCAGTGCACTCTTCCAGTGCAACAGATTGAATAATGTCCAGTTATCGGTTGAAAGTTTACAATGATTGTTTGTTTTRAGGCAGTCCATTTGAAGATGGTTGCCTCAGCTCATCAATTCTCTGTGAMTTTTTAGATATTCGACGCTCCAAGCACCAACAGCTAACATCGAGATCGCTCATAACTGAGCAGAACGTGATTTGAAGAAACTCAACTCAGCATTCAACGACTTTAAAACCCTGACATGAAAGGTGGTGGGTGATACACRTTCCTYAGAAAGCTCAGTCTATATTTRGTTTGTTTAGAGGAAGAATCCATCAAACACCTTCGAAAGGTTCCGACAGTGGGGGGGACACCACTAATCCACGTGCGCTATATTTGAATCGCCATGACAACTAAAATGCCAGGGGTGGTGGTATTATTAGTTTAGGTTTGCTCGCTGCGCGCTCCACTTTCCTCTGCTCCGACTCGTTACGCCTTCAGATGTTCCCAGTGTGAAACCTCGATGCCACGCACATCAAACTCACACACACACCCAGCAGTGCGAGTACGGCGATGCGCTCGCCCACAACTGCACAAGCTCTTGTCTTTGAGAAAAATAAAAAAATAAAAAAATAAAACAAACYCCGTGTGATGTGTTTAACACGCGGAGAACACTTCAGAAGAATTCGTACGAGACAGATTTAGTCGTGGACTTGGCTTTGCTTCAAGAAAAAGCGATTCCCTGTCAGGTGTGATCTGAAGGARCACGAGTAGTTTCTGTAAACGCTTTGAGTCGGAGGAAGAGAAACGGTGCAATATTTGGTTCTCTGTGATGAAATTCAGAGCTTGTAGCAAGGTTTACTGCTAACGTTCTCATCTGGTTTTTACAAAAAAGCCAAAGGAAGATTCCAAAATCAAGTTTGAAGGTTAAAAAGATACTTGAAATGATTTGTGGAAAGGTTATGAGCAATTAGCATCTTACCTGTTCTRTATAGTTCTTTCATAAGACTTGGTTTGGACTAATAAAGTTTAAATGTAATATCTATACTAAAATAACCATAAGTGTGCTTCAATCCAAATACTCATATTATTGTACATCACTAATGTTGGTACAGGATCAGATCTATACTAATGTAAGAAGATGAGTACTTTTGTTTGTTTCTCGTCTCCAATTTCTGTACTGTTACAGAAGTGCAGAACTATAACAAAATAAAGAAAAAAATTACWTTTAAAATGTTTATTCTCMACTCTAAACTGATTAGTTTTTTGTAAAATCAATAGACTAAAACATATTTTATTTGCTGAGAAATGTAGCTTAATTTTTCAGTTTTTTTAAACGTAAAAAATGTAAAAGTTAATTTAAAATCAGTGTGTGAATGTGAGTGTGAATGGGTGAATGTCTGTTAGTGTAAAGCGCTTTGGGGTCCGGAGGKACTTGAAAAGCGCTCTATAAGTTCAGTACCACTTACCATAAAATGTWAGAAAWTATATTTACAGTAAAAYAACACATTGCTTTCCTCTTCATGAAACCCAACAGGCTGCCTATAAGTATAATTTTGGATATATAGTGGTGATATTTCACATTACTAACGCAATTTTAAAAATTGATGGCAGCGCCAAAATTCATAAAATGTCATTCACATTTACCAAAACAGAGTTTTTGAGCTTGATTTTGTTGTAAGAAAGGCTTAGCTTTGCTCAGACTAGCCATTAGCTCATCAGTCACGTCAGATTTAATCTCAATACCTCCAAACTGAGACCACTCATAGAGCTATCTACAACAGGTAAGATGTTAACTGTTCATAAYGTTCCASGCTTCATTAAATTTGAACTAAGCTTTCAAAGAAAAAGAAACAAAACAACAAGAAAGGGAAAATAGTTCATGTGGAATTAGTTYGTCAACAGGCTGCGAACAGAGCAAAGATGGCCATATCGTTGTTGTCATGGGAACAAGATAATATTGTGTGACAGGCAGACACTTATCACAGTTTTGCMACTCTGCATAAATTCTCTGTATTTTGTTAATAACCTCTTTTGTACAAAACTAACAGTCCAGATTTCCTCTTTCATTCAGTTTCTAATTGTTGGTCCTCGTTTCTGTTTCTTCTCTCTTTTCTCCATCCCGCCCACCTGTCCTGATCCTGACACCTGGCCCGGTGATGTCACCCTCTCCAGTGAGGGTGAGGTGAGGTGAAAGCCACTGTTTAGCTCCTGCGGTCCGGGTTAAGAGCCCACTCGGTGAGATAAGAGGGCATTGTTTACTTGGCCCGGCTCTGGTCCAACACCCACACAGACACACACAGAGAKCTTTGCATGCCTTCGCTGCACGGCTTCACTGTCACACTTTGCAGAATGTTGCTGTGTGCTTGTGGTGAGTTATTAAGAAGTGTGTGCCGCAGAGTCAGAGTATTAAACTAAGACCTTAAAGATCAGGCGAAGCACAARCTGTGAACGTCTGGGCTCACTTTTACCATATTGTGAGTTAGTTTGAATTCACAAAACTGCACTGATTTTAGGAATTTTGCTCTTTGTGGTAACTTATTTATTATAGAACTCGCCAAACAGGTCTATTCAAATCAGCACAAAGACACCATGTTCTGAACATAATGCAAAATGAACGTAGAGCTGTGACGTTCGCGAACGATCCGAATCTTTTGAACGGCTCTTCACAACGAACGACAGGAGCCGAATCGCGGGCAGCAACGAGCCATTTGTAGTTTTATTTCTGTTATTCCTCATATAATCTTTATTTTTTCATATTTAAATCGCTCCCGCTTTGCTTTTTCACAGAAAACAGGCGGAGTTGTGGAGTACAGAAGCTCACGGTGAAAGGGGGAGCGGGGTTTCTACTTGACAAACAAATGGTTCCACCCACGTGACGGGATTACGTCATGACGTATGGCTATGTTATGAGATATTTCCCTACGTGACGACGTAATACGTTCAAAATCGAACGGCTCTTTTTGAACGGCTCTATGAAACAAAGGGCTCCCCAAGATCCGGATCCCTTCAAAGAGCTGTAAGAAAATTTGGTGTTCGTTAACTGAAATCGTGACGAAACCACATGAATGTTGAATAGATTAAAATGTGAAGAGATGGACCATTCAACACCAGTGACTGGAGTGAAYGGTGGTTTAATGTTCTCTGTGCAGATATCAAACCAACGCTGAATGCAAACCGGAAGTCCCGGTCCATAAATACATGGCTCTTCAGTGCCTGGTACRCCCACTACAGGCCCACGGCTGAATCGCAGACACTCATATCCTGTCCTCATGTTTGATTAAAGGTTTTTTATGTGTTGTGATGGTGTTTTCAGACGTGTCTAAACCTATTTTAATCAAGACATAATAGTCAAACAATATATTATAAGAATCAATATTTAAAAAGGAAAACTATGAATATGGTGCTTCTAAAATCAGTTTCTAAATTACTAAAAAATTTCTTCAAACTCCCCCTGTTCACATGACAATTACTCGTGAACAGAGCCATTTATCCTATCTCTAAATGAATGTAAGCTGGAAGCAGTAGGCTGGAGGAAAGATACTATTTTTTCCTAAAGTCACTTATTTTTATTTGAAGTTTTCCCATGATTTTGGTTTTTACGTTTAAACGCGTGGCTGAGAATTTGTTCCCCACATTTAAAAACACACATCATCCGGCTCATCACCTGCCACTCTCCTTCTTTTGTTAATCCCTGCTCCCCTGTGTTCCCTTCCACGTGTTCATGGGTTTTTACGTACCGGTACTTCATGCCGGTCAGCTTGGCCGTGGACTCCTTGAGGTTGTGGTGGTAGCGGTGGGTGAAGGAGCCCAGGCTGCGGGCGATCAGGGCCACGGTGCGGAAGCGGGCCCGGGCATGGCTGGTGGTGTTGGGGCTGGTGGTGTTCTGCTTGCTGTGCTCCCCGCCGTTGCGTGGGGCCTTCAGGCCGTGGTCCGTGCACGCGAACGACACCTGCATGGCGTTTGTTTTCGGCCCTCAAAGTGCTCGAGACCCGCTGTTTTCTGGGTGTGGGACGCAGATTTCTTTCTTTCTTTTGTTGTTCTTGTTACATGAAGTTGAACGTCAGGAGTCCAGACCAGTTCTCTTTCGGGCTGCTGAATCTCATATGGAAATCACACGAGGGAAGGAYGGGGTCATGGGATTAGTCAGTTTCTTTCTGAGCGAAAACCCTTATGCAACATGTCAGGTTTGGACATATCAGCTGTGCAGCTTTGGTCAGCGTGCAGAGAGCCGTGCTGGAGATCCTGAGCTGGGCTGACTGCACCTGAAATCAAGAGAAAGGATGGAGAAAAGAAGCACTTCTTGAGTTGCTTTAGAGAGGGGTCCCACTGAGAAGAGTACTTGACTAGTAAAGAAAAAAAAAACAGAAAACAAAAACATGCAATTCATTCCCCAATTTAACGCCTCCCTCTCACATCTCTAAGCTTCTTCCACATGGCGAATGACTTCAGCTGTGACCCAGTTTTCCCCATTTCTGCTATTTTCCCTCATTTTTCTCTCCTGTCCTGATGCATTCCCTACATGCCTGCGTGTTTTCTCTGCCTTGCAAGCTCAACATTGTTCTCCTCTGATCTGATTCTGCCCAATTTCCGTTTTCGCCCRTCTCTGATTCTTTATGCTTCTCTGGTTCAGAGTTAAGGCGCCGAGAACCGCGGGTGTCGGAGGAGTTTCTGCTGCCCCTGCGCTGACGGCCAAAGCTTTTATTCAGACCTCTGAAGCGAGACGAGTAACACTGCACCACCACATTGTGCTGCAGACGAGCACCATAATCACTCATGTCACACGTTTCGAGAAGAAGGTCATGCTTTTTTTTTTCTCCACACACACAAACGAACTCAAAAACTGTGCGTGCACAAATGTTAAACAGCACCCATTTGCAACGCTGAGACACATAAAACGTTAAAGCTTATGGACGCAAATGTTCTTACACTTGGTGATTGATTCAGAGTCCTGAACAACTTTAAGAAAGCTCGGGATGTGTTTACGCGGAGAGAAGAAGTGCCCCCACAGGTCGGCGTCCCGACAGAAAGCAAAGTGCTCTTGGAAAAAGAAAAAGAAAAAGCCTTGTCCAATCTCCAAATTCCTCAAGGAAATCACAGTTTTTTTTCCCTTTAAGGTCCTTGGCTTTGGAGCAACAGGGCTCTGTTTGATGAAAGGACCTTGGGATTGTGATGGGTCAGCAGAGAGGAGGAGGAGAAAGGAGGATGCATGGTACCTCACTTCGGGGAGAGAGGCGAGGAGCAGTGTGGAGCGAACAGAGACTGAGCGAGTCGCAGGGTGAGTGGGAGACGGAGCGTGTGTGTGAGGCAACTGGCTCTGACTGAGCGTCTGAAAGAACTGCAGTGTTTTACACTGTGGCACTACGCAGACAGAGAGAGAGAGAGAGAGAGAGAGAGAGAGAGAGAGAGAGAGAGAGAGAGAGAGAGAGAGAGAGAGAGAGAGAGAG